ATTTAATTATATAGTAAGATTGTTTTAATTTAACTGTGTATGTTTCTTAAGATTCCAATAGTAAGATACTTTTATTTATTTTAATTCAATTTAATATTCAGTTGATCATTATTTTAACTATTATGAAATTTTCTATTGGTTTGTAACTTTAACGAAGCTTTTCTTGTTTCACACTTTGTATTTAAATCTTCAATTTCTTTTCACCATAATTGAAAATATAATCTTTTTGTCTTTTTTTTTTTTTTAATTCAAAAGTTCATATAACTTAAAACATAATTGTGGTTTATTAATTATTATCAAAGTAATGGAATCATCTAATAAATAATAGAATCATTAAAGACAAGAAGTAGAAGCTGCAGCATAGTATTTGCAACAATTTTCAATTTTTCATCAATGATCTTAGGTAAGTACAGAAACATAAACAAGGAAAAGAAAAAATTAGAAGATTTATCAAATGTATCCTCAAAGTTACAAATCACAAATATTCAAAAGAAAATATTGTTTATAATTATCACAATAACTTTCTCTCTTAAATGATGTTAGTTGTATTTTTATCTTTTAGTGGACTTGCTAACAAACAATGGCTACCACAATTTTAGTGATATTTCTTTTTATCTTTACAATAATCAAAGATTCTGAAAATGTTGTATATCCTTGCGTGGTAGATCCAAAATGTCAATGTTTGACAAGTGATTTAAGTCAAGTAAGAATTTATTACAATATAAGTGAAAATTGGAACATAGCTGTAAAAGCTAGATCATGGTCAGATTTACAGGTATATATATTTATATATACTCAGTAGCTTTTTTTTTTATTTATTTATATTTAATTAAATACAATTTAATTATGACAGAACTTATATTGCAATATTTATTATAAAATTATAAACAAAAAAACCAGACTTTATCCTAGTAGCACCAAAAATATTGAAAAATATTGAATACATGTGTATTTAATATTAAAAAGATATTCAATGTATAGATGTATTAAATAATTTATGCTACTAAGACAATTAAAAAGCTTCATTCTCGACATAATATTTAAATAAGACATTGAATATCATTTTAATATTAAATACACATGTGTATTCAATATTTTGTGCTATTAGGGCAATTAATAAGCTTCATTCTGGACATAATGTTAGATGGTTCAGAAAGTCGTTTCATTTTTCTTTTGTAAAAATGAAGATAATTTTTGCTTCGAGGTTGAACCTAAACCTTTCAAGTGATCATCAATAGTTGAATTTGATAAATTGAATCTCTCATTGATTTCATGTGTTACTATTTGTCAGTTTGCATTAACTAATGCCATTATTGCGTTAGCAAAAAACGAAATGACTTTTCGAATCACCTAATATTTGATATTTGGTTAAATATAAATAAACTTTTGTATTTTCTTATTATACATATAATTACATAAATGACAATTTATCAGATTGATTGTCAAGAAATGGGAGTATTGAATAAATTGAATTACTTTAGTAATCAATCGGAAAAAATGCTCAATTCGTTGGAATTTATAAATTGTAAACTTCCAAAAGTTGGTTCATTAAGAGATGTGTCCAAAATTTTTGGTATTGAAGGAACAAAAAGACTCTACTTTCGATCTTTCAAATATCTTGGCGATAGACTGAAAAAAGGACACTTAGAAGGATTTTCAAATGTGACTAAATTAGTTTTGGCCCATAATAGTTTTAATCATTTACCGAAAGATATTTTTTTGAATTTTCTCAAATTGGAGCACCTTGATTTATCTGACAATGAACTTGGAATACTATCCAAAGGAACTTTTCGAGCAATACCAAATCTTAAACATCTTCAATTAAATCATAATTTTTTGGAAGAATTCGTCCCGAAAATATTTCACGAATTACCAAAGCTGAAATATTTAGATCTTAAAGAAAATTTATTAGAAAAACTTAATAATGATTTATTTGACAATCTAACGAAATTAAGATATTTGAATTTAAAAACAAATGCGTTGTCAGAGTTACCGCCATTGATTTTTCATAAATTAAAATTATTAAGAAGAATTGATTTGTCTTTTAATACATTTCGAGTACTTCCAACGGAATTATTTTCTCGAAATAAAAAATTGCGTCAAGTAATATTGCATAATAATAAAGTACCTTTATCAACATTGCCAGATAATTTATTATCAGAGTTACCACATCTCGTAAAAGTTAGTTTGATCAAAAATGGAATAAAAGAATTGTCAGATCGTATTTTTCGCAGTTCAACATCGTTAAGATATATTTTTTTGGATGATAATTCTCTTAGATCATTACCTCTGTTTATTTTCTTTAATTTAAAAAATTTAAAAATACTTTCAATTAAAAACAACAGAATTTCGCGACTGCCAGATGAAATTTTTTATGATTTGGAAAATCTAAGAATACTTGATTTGTCCTTCAATCGTCTTCCCGTTTTATTAAGGTACATGAAATTAATCAAATGATTTATTTCTAATTTATTATTGCTTGATATGAAATATCAATTTTAATAATATTTTTTATTTTAGGAAACACTTTGAACATTTGGTATCATTGAAAAAACTCTATTTGAATAATAATCGTTTAAAATATTTCGAATCAGGAACATTTTACAACTTAAACAATCTAACCGTTGCTAGATTGTCAATGAATAAGTTAACGTTAACAAATAGTATCTTAGAAAAAGATTCTCCATTTATTTATAATTCTATTCTCAAGGAATTGGATTTATCTAAGAATAGAATAGCCAATTTTATTTTCGATTGGTTGGTACATAACAATAACTTAACAATATTAGATTTAACTGACAATAATATAAAAGAATTAAGGGTAAATATCAAATTTCATTATTCATACATAATATATTATTATTATTATTAACTGGCATTAGGAATTCGAAAGTTCATTGCCGCAAATACCAAATCCCGCCATTGTTTCCGTCCCTGAGCGTAATCCTTCCATTCGGGGTCTTTGTATCCTATTTCTTTCAGACCCCTTCTAATATTATCCTCCCATCTACGTCTTGTTCTACCTAATGGTCTTTTCCCATTTGGTATACAAACCAATATTTTGGGCACCGTTCGATCCTCCCCCATGCACTGTGCCACGTGACCAGCCCATTTTAATCGGCGTGATTTTACGACGTTGATAATGTCCAGTTTGTTGTACAATCGGTGTACTTCAACGTTATGGAGGTTTTTTCTCCATTCGCTCATTTCCTCATCGCGTTTTGCACCGAACATTTTACGAACAACTTTGTTTTCGAAAACCCTCCATTTGTTTTCGTCCCTTAACGTAAACGACCACGATTCGTTACCATAAAAGATTATTGGCAGGATTATTGTCCTGTATATCCTGATTTTTAATCACCTAGACAACAATCGCGAGCTGAGTAATTTGTTAACCGAATAAAAACATGAGTTGTCCTATATTGAGTTATTTTCTTAAAGTTCTTTGTTAATTTTGTTCGTCTGGTTTATAATCGATCCTAAATATTTAAAGTTGCTGATCCGGCTAAAAGTTTTATCCCGGACGACCAAAGTTCCAGTAGTAGGCTTATTCTGAACTCTATCGGTTATCATATATTTGTTTATTCATAACAAAGCAATATCGTCCGCGTATGTCAACAATTGTGTTGTCCCGTTCAACTGTAGACCATCTTTACTTTTCTGCAGTTCTCTTTGACAGCGAATTCCAGTACTAAATTGAACAAAAGGGATGACAATGCGTCCCCCTGTTATTATTATGATTAACCCTCCCGCCTCCTAAATTATTATTATAATTAAATGAATTCATTATAATTCTTGTTTTTAATGTTCTTTTTTTCTTTCATAGGATTCTAACTTCGTTCATATGCCGGATAATATTTTAGTCGATTTAAGATTTAATAAAATAGAAAGAATTTGGTTAAATGATATCGAAGATTTGTCAGTGCATTGTAATGAAAGACGTTACGTTGATATTAGGATTGAAAAAAATCCATTAATATGCAATTGTTATCTGTATGATCTTTTGCGTTATTTAAAAGATGATTTGTCATTTAATGTTTATAATTTTGTTGATATAAATCTGGAATATGTAAAATGTAAATATCCTAATGAAACGGATTGTACAGAAATTAAAGAGCTTGATTTTAGAACTTATGTATGTCCAGAAGAAGAATACTTTAACATTAAAAAGTGTCCAAATAGTTGTAACTGTAATATAAGACTTTATGATGGAACAAGAATTTTAGATTGTTCAGATAGATTAAAGAGTGAATTTAAGATTCAAAAGACTGAAATCAATTATGCGGGAAAGAATCCATTAATAGCAAATTTCACTTACAACTTTTTAACAGAAATACCATCACTTGAAGCTTTACAAACAATAAACGTAACAGATTTATTGTTATCTCATAATTGGATTACACACGTGAACGTTGAAAGAATACCAGAAACTGTCACAGTAAGTCCATTTCTTATTACATTATTTTTACAATAATTATATAAATAATTATAATTATTAAAATAAATAATGTTAGGTGTATAACTTTGCTTCCTTGATTTTCCTACAGTTGGTTTACAGACAAACAATGGCTGAAACAAAATTGCACATCTATTAATACATAATAATAATAAAATAATGCAATAAATAATATTAATAATTAATTAAAAAATTATAGAAATATATATAATAATAATATTAAGTGTATAACTTTGCTTCCTTGATTTTCCTACAGTTGACTTACAGACAAACAATGGCTGAAACAAAGTTGCACACCTACTAATATATAATAATAATAATATAATGTAATAATTAAATAATTGCTTTTTTTTTTACTTTTGTGTTTTTAGATACTACATTTAGATAATAATTATATATACACTGTTGATGGAAACCTAATTAATTTCTTGACACTTAATCCTCTCAAAGAGTTTACTTTACATGGGAATTTAATGGAGTGTGATTGCTCTCTTGCACCTTTTTTGACATTTGTTAAATTACAACGACATTATTATAAAGATCTAAATAATGTAAAATGTAAGGAATCTCGTTTACATGTATATAAACTATCAATGGAATACATATGTCCATTGACCCTAGATTACTAAAAGAGAAAAATTCAATGAAACAAAAACAAACATTAGGGTAGAATTCTAAAGAGTTTAATATTACAAGTATAATGATTTTTATTAGATTTTTTTTTTTAGATGATCATGTTTATATCGTTTTAGAAAACAATATAAAACGATTAGGATTAAGTATTGTTATTTTTTTAATGAAAAATTATATAAAACATTATTTATTGTCATTTAATGATTGTAAATATTATACATTTATATTTGAATTGACGATGTTAGGAACGACAATTATAGTAGAAGATGTTTTTTTTTACAGATTTTGAAAATTTGTTAATTATCATCTTTCTACTATTTTAAATAGGAAAAAAAAAACAAAAAGAAATGTTCCAATATAACTAATAAGTAGAGATAAAATAATTCAAGTGGAATTAGATTATATTTCTGAAAATAATATAACAAATATTATTTTAATTAGAAGAATTTTAATAATTAGAATTCAATTTCTATTTGAAATAAAATATTAAATTTAAGTAAAACAAAAAAACAAAAAAAACAAAAAGAAGAAGAAGGACGATATTAAGACATGTAAAAGTGAATTTTTAGTAAATATTTAATATTTAACAATTCACAGTTTGGAAATAAAATTGTGAAAATGATTTACATAATGTAAAATGAAATTCAATTTAAATTCGCAATAATTAACAAATATATCTTGTTGAATAATCGAATTTTTGATTGAGAAATATCATTCAAATTAAAACACTTTTTAAATATTATTTTAAATTATTTGAAGTACTTAAAATAAATATATTTTTTTTTATTTGAAAATATTACTTCTCGAAGAATGAAATATTTAATTTTTAAAACTTTAGAAATATTGGATTATTAAAAATTGTAATATTTTCGAAAGTATTATTTTTCGAAGAAACAAAAATATATTATTTTTCGTAATGACATTCGTAAGAAAAAAAGAAAAAAAGAAAAAATAAAAAAATATATTATTTTTAGAAGTATCACTTTTACAACACACATATTATAGAGGAAATGTTATTTTTAAAAATAAATGTATAATATATAAATGAAATTATTTATTAACAATTTGTTATGTAAAACAGCATTACAATTAGCTCTGAATTTCGATATTATTTTACGATTTATATCATATATATATATATATTTCATTAATTTTTATTGTATAAAATATTTAAATGCTATATCCATAAATTTATATTAATATTAAAAATTTGTATGGATATTAGGGAATAAGATATTAATACATAATAATTTTATTCAATTCAAATTCTGTTATTATTTCCAAAAACCCTTTTAATTCTTATTTCTCTTTAATACTATTATTGTATATATTTACAATAGTATATTTGTATACTGTGTCATTCATTCCCACCTAAATATATTTGATTATCAAATAAAAAGTTGTTTACAAGTTGTGAGCCAATGAACAGTGATTGTATTTAACACGTAGAGTCGTTAATTTAGGTTTTTCACAAACGTATTTCAACTTATATATGTAGAAATTATTTCCCTAATTCTCTAATATTCATCGAGTTTACATAGAAGTAGGTAAGTGTTTGCAAAATCGTTACATTGATCTAACACTTTGAATTGAAAAGAACAAAACGATCTTATTTGTATTTTAATTTAATTATATAGTAAGATTGTTTTAATTTAACTGTGTATGTTTCTTAAGATTCCAATAGTAAGATACTTTTATTT